ATGTAGTTAAACAGGGTTGAGTAGAACATACTTTGGTCCTTTTTCTTATATTCCCAAAGTAATTTCATCTGCATATTTTCACAGCAATCAGAGAGATATTTCTCCAAATTTATAAAAGTAACATTTTCATCATAAGTGTTTTTGATTAGTGAGTTGACAGAATTCATTTCTATATTATTATCTCCTCTTGGTGGTTGCAATACAATGGTGCCAACAAAGGGGGCCAATTAATACATAATACAGTAATAAACAGTAAAAAATGTATAAATAATACAATTGCTGCCCCCCAGTATATGCATAATATGCTGCATAACAGGGGTGCCCAATACATCAATCGCGATCAGTGCATGTCGGGAGATTGCGCCACATTCAAAAAGGCTATCAAATTTTAACACTTACTTTAACATCTTACTGCTTCTGGCGGTGGGCAGGTCAACGTGATTGACTGATGTGAATTGTGGCCACCTCTCTAGCTATCTAGAAAGTTTTCATTTATCGGTTGTCAGTTTGTGTAGCGCCATTTTTTCCTTTTGTAACCTACACTGACTCTTTCTTTGTAATTTCTTTACAGTGTCGAACTCCAAATGCTTCTGCTTCATTTGCCAAGTAGCCATTACACTTCCAAAGAAGGGGAACGTTGAGAACGTTTTAAATTGTTCACAGAAACGACAACGACGACCTCCCAGCTAAAAGTGAGCTCAGGAAGAAAAAAGTGGTCTAGAATACACAAACCTGGCTGACAATAAAGTCAGTGTGGTCTTCAATCATTTGCCCTGTAATGCCGAATATCAATATAGGTCACTGGAGTACATTAAAAACATTTCAAAGCTTTCAAAGATGAGGCCAGCCTTTCTAGATATCAAGCCACAAAAGTATGGGCACATCTATTGTATAATATGCTTCTATCTGATGTATCACATTAGATACTAAGGCTGTCAATGAACATGATTGTGAAACTTAATGTTTGATTGTGAAAAAAGTAGCATTACTGTGGCTGTCCGTGAGTTCTGGCGTGGGCATGAGCCGGTGCACTGAAAGCCCTGCATGATGGATAGGAGTCACAAAACGTCACGTTCATGATTTAAAATGAAATGTAGGTCCGGCTGAAATCAGCGAACAATTCCACAACAGCGGTGCGGTAACGATGGCAGAGAGTTCGCAACTCGACACGGCCGCAAAGAGACTGATCTGCACTCTGAATGATCTAAAAAACTCCGTTTGGAAACACTTCAGAGCAGTAATGTCACTTAAAGGTTAGTAGACGGCAAAATTGTGGAACCTCAAATAAAGTTGTATGCAGACTATGTAAGTGTGGAGACTATGTTAGCTACAGTTAGCATTCTAGTACTGGCAGCCAAATGTACCCAAATGTATTCAATTCAGTTCCTCCTCAAATTCACACTCCCCTGATAAATTGCGGGCACGCGGCACTGAAACAGTGGGGAGCGACATGAGGGAAGAAGTCTTAGGCCTCAATTTAATAACCCACTTTACACCTTTCTTGAAACTTTTTTGCGTTCCATAGTTGCAGAGCTGTTTGGGGCTAATTTCTTTTCAGTGAATGCGACTCCAGGGGCCACGGAGTCACTCTTGTTATATTGGTTTGCTCTCTTATGGGCATAATGCGCAAAAATATATATTTGCATGGCTCAAACCTGTGCGTTTTCTTAGAAGGAGTAATTGAACGTCATTTTTGGTCAGTTTTGCCAGATCTACTGCATTTCAGATAATTAATAACATTAACTGTAAAATAAGAAATCAAAGAATATCTGAATGCAATTCCTTAACTCTCATACTCATAATTAGTTTTCAAGTAGTCTCTATGCCTGGAATCAGTTATGGCTTTTGGTTTTGGTGCCATCCCAAGATTTTTTACCAAACATTAAACTGAATTCAAAGTTAGCCAAATGAGCTGTTTTAGCCATTTTAGCATCATTAATAGACCACGACAAGAGGTGATTGAGCGAGTTCATGACCATCTGTGGCATGAGATGTGATAGATGACCACACACACACGTACACGCACACACACACATGGCCGGCGGACGTACAGAGCCATCTGCTCCCACAGTGACCCTGCTGCGAATCCTGCGAGCTAACAGACGTCCAGACAGACGCACAGAAGGACAAGAGGACAGAACAGACGCAAGAAAGAAAGAAAGAAAGAAAGAAAGAAAGAAAGAAAAGAGAAAGAAACTTTCCATCTCAGATAAAATGAGTGTTATTAATTATTATAATATTAGACAAATATTTGTATCGCAGAAGGTTGCAATATGCAAAACTGCCATCTAATTAACAAAAATGTCTGAGATGTTCCTGATGAGTGTGCCTGTGGGTGTCTCGACAAAATAAGGCCTTCATAACATCTAGCAAATGTAAATCAAACTGATTTTAGTCAAAATAATGCAGAGTGATTTTAATGTGTTTTTGTTTAATATGCTGTAAATGCTCACAGCGTCCAATAAAAATATCTTGGCAGGTGAAGCATCTCAAACGTAGGCAATGTATCTAACATTTCTCATTATGATACTGTTGTTGCTCTCGCTTGTTTTGAGAAACAGTGCAGGGAGATCATAGTGAGATAGTGAAGTAGTGAGATCACTTAGAAAGTTAATTCAAATAGGTTGAATAATCATATAATATTCTTACAACCATTTCATAATGGGAAATATTAGATATATTGCCTACAATTAAGATGCTCATTTTTAAAAATATAGATATTTTTCAGTGTGCAGTATGTTTATGAACATTTGTTATGCAGAGGGAAAGGCCTTTTGGCTTTGACTGGACACTGGACTGGACAAATGTGATTAGCCACAGAAGAGGAGAGTTGCAGAAAATGCAAGACGAACACACACACACACACACACACACACATACACACACACAGACACACACACACTGTTGGGCTAGTAGGAAAAAAAACACAAATTTGTTTTCATACCTTTGTCAGGATGTGGGATGATACATGTCTCTCATATGTATTTTATTTACAGCATATATCCAGTATAGGTAAAATATTTATAAGTAAAAAATAATGAGTGTGACATATATATATATATGTATGTAAGTACCTACATAATATTACATAAAATTGTCCCAATTGTATTATATAGAACAAACCCTTGTATCTCTATTTTTGCTGTTTTTTTTAGATGTCCTTAACATTGTGTTAAAAGTTCAGGATGAATAAATCATTGTGAAAAAAATATCCATTCAAAGCTAAGAACATTTTTCTTACTATTTTGGTGATTATAGATGTTTTGTCAGTGATGATATGTGAGTACTAACATGTAATAACAATATGCCCTATATGTAATATCTATATGTATCTTCCTAGTAATTTTATATCTTCCCAGTAATTTTGGACAGACATTTTCAAATTATGTCATCAAAAACTAAAAAATATATATATATACAATCCCATTTCCAAAAAAGTTGGGATGCTGTGCAAAATGTAAATAAAAACAAAATCCAATGATGTGCAAATCATTTAAACCCTACACTTAATTGAATAGTGCAAAGACAACATATCAAAAGTTGAAATTGTATTGTTTTTTGAACAATATATGCCCATTTTGAATTTGATTCCAATTACAGGTTCCAAAAAAGTTGGGACGGGGGCAACAAAAGACTGGTAAAGTTGTGTAATGCTAAAAAAAACACCTGGTGGTTGACTGGCAACAGGTCAGAAACATGATTGGGTATAAAAAAGCATCCCAGAGAGGCTGAGTCTTTCAGAAGTAAAGATGAGGAGGGGTTCACCACTCTGTGAAAGACTGCACAAGCAAGTAGTGCAGCAATTCAAGGATAATGTTTCTCAACATAAAATAGCACTTTTCATCACCTACGGTACATAATATCATTAAAAGATTCAGAGAATCTGGAGAAATCTCTGTATGCAAGGGACAAGACCAAAAACCAGTATTTGCTGGCTGTGATCTTTGGGCCCTCAGGCGGCACTGCATTAAAAACAGACATGATTCTGTAGTGGAAATCACTGCATGGGCTCAGAAACACTTCAGAAACATTTCACTTTCTAAACTACAGCAGTGTATATATACACACACACACACATATATATATATGTGTGTGTGTGTGTGTGTGTGTTTTAGGCTCTCTGTACACAGAAGTACACAGACTGTGTGATGTAAACTGACAGTTTAAATTGGTTCTGACTTTTTGCACTTCCAACTGTTTATCAAGCTAAATGTTAGGAGCAAAGCAGTTGCATCAATAAGTCTGTGAGAGTGAGATACAGTGAGATACTGGCCTGATCCGGAGAACATCCTGTTTAAAGAAGTGATTCCTGATTTTGTTTGAAGCTGTAGGTAGGAAGCTATCATTGTGCGTTTGCTGACCAGCACTTCACTTTACTTTACACAAACTTGTTTTTGTTGCTCTCAAGTCATTTTGCCTGTCAGTCAAACAGCCCTTTCCTATGAAAGTCGGCTCTTCTCTAAACCTGCCTGCTCTGCATTACTGGCCTGTATTTGTGTGCAGTTCTGCACAGCCTGCAGTGGGATTGATTTCATTTTGTGTAGTATTTCCACACTAATTGGGTACTTTGCTCTTTGTGGCTCCTCCAAGCTCCTCCAAGCCTGTTCACTGCCCCGCTAACCACCACTGCATTTCAGACACTGTCCTCAACTAGCCACTGCTGCCCACAGCGCCCACTAGTGGACTTATTAGTCATTATAACTAGTCAACTAGTGTAGTGTAATGTATACAACACTGCTATAAAATATATGTATATTATAATACATACATACCTCTGTGTGTGGGTGTGTGTGTGTTTCTCTGGGTTTTACTACAAATACAGGACATTTCTGTCCTGGCAATGTACAAAAACAAACAGAAACACACACTGCTGGACTGGTAAAAAGACAAGAGCCTTTCCTCTACTGGTGTTTTCATAGGCACCAGGAACTCTGAGCCAGAGAGAGAGAGAGGGAGAGAGAGAGAGAGAGAGAGAGGGGGAGAGAGAGAGAGAGAAGGAAGAGAGGGAGGGGACGAGGAAGGCAGTGAAAGGCAAGAGAGTGAGAGAGAGAGAGAGAGAGAGAGAGAGAGTCAGTAAAGACAACAGAGTGGCAGTGAAAGAACAAGCAGTCAGACTGAGGAGGGAGCGTGAGAGAGAGAGAGAGAGAGACAGAGAGAGAGAGACTCACCAAATAAGCGAGCGCTCTCAGTGTCAGTTACATTCTAACCACGGACAGCTGCCGTGTTGGAGCCAAAGGAAGAGAAAGAGAGAGAAAGAGAGTTTTCACAGCAGAGAGTAAAGAGGAGACGGTGAAAAGCAAGAGAAGAGAAGAGAAGAGAATAGAAGAGAAGAGAAGAGAAGAGACGAGCGCTCCTCCTGAGTGGAAAATGGATTCGGATTCTGGGGAGCTGAGTGAAGGAGAGCTTTCGCCAGGTAAAGACAAATTTCTCTTCTTTTTCTTCTCTTTGCTCTCCCCTCGCGCCTCTCCTCTTCTCGTTGCTGACCCCATGCCGGTCCAGTCTGTTTCCCATGGGCTTTTTGAAGCTGCCTGTGTGAGCGTGTGAGCGGAAGGAGGAATAAAAATGAAAGGTTTGGGATTCTGCAGGTCTGTGAGCTGCTGTGTCTCTCTGACTGTAGCAGAGAGAGAGAGAGAGAGAGAGGGAGAGGAAAAGGGAGTGAGAAAGATTAAGAGAGAAAAGAGAGAGAGTGAGAGAGAGAGAGGGAATGGGAAGGGAGAGAAAAAGAGACAGGATAAAGAAATGAAAAGAGAAAAAAAGAGGGGAGAGAGTAAGATTTGATGAGCGGAAAGAGGAACAAGTGAAAGAGTAAGAGAATTAGAGAGGAGAAAGAAAGATTTGGCAAGTGGAAGGAGGAAAAGGAGAAAGTGAGATTGAGAAAAAGGAGAGAGAAAGTGAGAGAGAAAGATAACATGAATGTATAAGATAAGCGAAGAGAAAGATAAAGAGACATAAAAGAAAAGTGAGAGAGGGAGAGAGATAAAAGAGGAGGGAGAGAGACCTGCACTTAGTTACACTTCCTATTTTCTCCCTGTAAACGGCTGAACACACTGTATGTGAATGTATGAAGACTGAAAACAGTCGTGTGCTGAATTTGACTTTGTTTAATTATTTAATCATTAACGCATCAGTGAAATACACAACACATCAACACATTTACTGCTAAAATAAACTAAAAACTCAAAAGACAATAACTGTGGTGATGTAATAAATCGCTGCTGTTGAAACAAAACCTCATATTTCCACGTTTTTGATATAATTTGAAAATACCTGTTGTCATTCACAATGTATGTAAATTTCATGATGAATGGACCAAAAGAAATGACCCAAAACAACTTGGAAAAAACTCTGGTACCATTGACTTACATTAAAAGTGAAGTATGTTTTTTCCTTCTCCTGTAAAGTTACCATTTTGGGGATACGAGTTTTTGTTCCGATAACAGCGATATTTTAATGATGTGGAAGTGATGGAGATGTTTGAATCTAAACTCACTGTATTCAGTGATGAACTGTGTTAATGCAACACAGTGGCTGGTAATGAAAGGAGGAGCGTTCATTTGTTCATTTATGCAGATGATTGTCATGTAGTGACTGATCAGACCTGATAATGATGGGCCGGTGTCAGGGTGTTATTTAGGAGGGCAGCGCCCCACCAACCCAATCAACAGGCCCCATGAAACCCGGCATTTTATAAAAGCTTCTACAGGACAAATCAGTGTTACATCACAACAACAAAGAACTTGCTTTCGGGTGGGAATGCTGCACTGATACAGCAGGGTTCTGTACCAATCTTGTAGATTATATTCAGACAAAAGCAGAACTTTTTCAGTGATCATGTGATGAATCATCTAAATGCTGAGTTAGTGTGCTGCTCTACATATTCATTATTAAATACTGATAAACTATCTGCTCCTAATGTCGCAGCCGTTGATATTAACAAACGTGTGAGCTGCTAAAGCTGCTCTGGTGCCATCATATTTCATTTTAGACTCAGATAACGTCACCATTAACTGGATTAAGTGGGTATTTTTTGTCTTTTAATCATAACCAGCACCAGCCGCTCATTTCACTGTAGGGTTTAATGAAAACGTAACTTTGCAGGCAGCCTTTATTTTATCTTCTATGGTAATGCTAATAGCTGTTGCATTAGCGCCAAGCTAGCGATGCATTCACTGGGTTTCGGATCACTTTTAGCAGCTCTGTCAAGTTCTAAAGGCTGGAAAACAAGGAAAACTGAAAGCTGAAGCAGTGTGTTGTTGGGTATCCGCGTTAGCTCGTTCTCCGATCCTGTTTCCTGGCTGTAGACGGGAACTTTTTTATTCTAAACAGTCTCAGAGTCTGGGCTAGCTAAGCGATTAATATCGCTTTAGCGCTCTTTTCACTGCAGCTAAATCACACTGCAGCACGACGGAGCTCCAATGCGCTCCACACACCTGATAGGAAAGACTATGCGTGTTAACATACGCTCTTAAAAAAAATATGGTTCTGCAAAGGTTCTTTAGTAAGCACAGTGGTTCTACACTCAAAGACCTGTTTGCATGCTTGAATGGTTCTCTGCATGGTGAAACTGTTCCTGAGATTGAGGGAGAATTTGCTGTATGTAGTTCTACATATACACTTTTTTAAAGAGGGTTCTGCTTGACTTTGGAACAATAGAAGAACCCATTTTTTTTTGCTATATAGAACCATAAAGGACATGTTCTCTATCAATCTGAAGAACCATTTCACTATGCGAAGAACTCTTTAAGCATGCAAAAGATTCTTTGAGTGTAGAACCATTATGTTTACTAAAGAACCCTTGAAGAACCATCTTTTTTAAGAGTGTAGGAGGGTTTGCAGGCATCACTCTATGTCGGCTGTGCTGCAGGGATGCGCTGTATGTTTATTTTCTTTTAAATACGTGGCTTTTTTGGACAGATCTTCTGCACAGTTATGGCCCTGTATTTTCCTTAGCTGTTTTTTTTTTGTACTGCTGCATAGATCCCTTATCAAAAGGAATAATTCAGACTCTCAATCATGAAGAAAAATTAAAGTAACTTCAAAAGTATCTTTGAAAAAGCCAACGTTTTCTCACTAGCACGCAGACAAAGCAACTTTCAGCTCCACATGTGCTTATTTGCAGTCTACAGATATAAGCAGCCAATCATTAATCAGTATACAGCTTTATATAGTGTTGTGCAAACGTTTTGGTCGAATTCTATGCTGTCAATTTAAGTGAAAATAAGTTAACACACATTCTACAGCAGAAGAGTCCACACTTTTTTCAAAGAGGGCCCCTATTGTACTGTGTCAAAATACCTCGGGGCTGAAATATTACTTACAAATGATTCAGAAGTTTTCAAAATATGCGCTTTCTGTATGTTGTTGTGTTTCCCATCACTGTGTAAAGGATGCACAACTTTTATAGTTGGATTGCTCACAGCTTTTTGGATCAGTAAGGGTTTATAACAAATAAATAAATAAAGAGTAAGAATAAAACACATCTAATGTATTATTTATATTCCTATTCAAATGTTTACTTGTTTGAAAATACGTACAAACTTAACAAAAATTTATATGTTTTGGATTTTGTTAGTTTATGTTCTTTATGCAACAAATGAAGGCGGCAACATCTTATTAAGCAGATGAAACAGCATAAATATCAAAGTTTTTGTTCTGCCTTAAGGGGTTAATATTTACTGACCTGCTGAATTTGCTCTGATAAGAACTCGGTGCTGTGAGACTCCGGAAGCTGCAGCTGTCTTTTGAAATATGAGGCTCATTTGCTGAAAACTGTTCAAATTTCCAGAGTCGGCTCAACGGCTAAAAACAAAAAGTTAAAATAGTTTCTAATCACTTGCCCAGAACTTTCCTTTAATTTTACAAAGTAGAAGGATGTATTTCACTAAAAAAGCAACACAATACATACATCTGTGATATAACGTCAACACTGTCAAACTAAAAACTTACAATTGCTCCTTTAAAAATATAATCACTATAATATATCATCACTGACTAAGGCTGAATGAAGACACACACACGAAAGTCACGCATTCACTAGCATGTACAACAATATTGTCGGTCTGTCCAGCTCTGCTTTAGAGTCTGTCAACAGTTTAGTCACTGAGTTGTGAATTTAATCCTAAACTATTTTCAGCTTCAGGAATAGCAAATTCTGATGGATTTACTGTCACTGCTTTCCTTACTGCAGGAGTTTTCCTTTATTGATGAAGGAAGGAGCATCTACACACGCTGTGATTGGCTGATAGGTGTATCAATCAATTAGCATTACAAGGAAATATTACCTTCATATTTGTAGGGTCACAAATGAAAAGGTACAAAGAACAAAATCCAGATATTTCAGTGGAATAACCCAGCGTCTGTTTCTCTGCTCTCTCCTCTCTCTCAGTAAGAGTGTCTCTAATTAACACCCAGAGATTTCGGTGCAAAACTTTCCAACTTTTCTTTTTCAGAGAAAAAGAACACACACACACACACACACACACACACACACACACACACACACACACACACACACTCCTGTTTCTGGTATCGTTTGAACACATGCATTCTGCATTTAGATCTTAAAGGCCCAAACTAACACAGAGCAACAATCACGTGTGTGTGTGTCTGTGTGTGTGTGTGTGTGTGTGTGTGTGCGTGTGTGTGATTTTTATCACTGCTCACCAGCGGCCAGAACTCCCTCACTTCAAAGAATATACCACACACATACACAAAGTCATTCCTCAGAGAGAGAAAGAGAGAGAGAGAGAGAGATAGAGAAGGAGAGAGGGGGAAGGAGAAAGAAAGAAAGAGAGTGTGTGTGTGCTCATCCATTTCCTGTCCAAATTCTGGAAGGTTTCAGTCACTGGTTAGTCAGAGCTAACCACTCATTACACACACACACACACACACACACACACACACACACACACACCCACAGAGAGAGAGAGAGAGAGAGAGAGAGAGAGAGAGACAGACAGACAGACAGACAGACTTCGTCTTCAGCTTTCCTCTCCAGGCTCCGCCCACAAATATGTTCTTTTGTTGCTACTGTTGTGAGGCTGGACAAGCTGAACAGAACACTGATAAAAATCCCATTAAACTCAGTTTATAGCACAATACGTACAGTTAGAGCCATTAGGTCTCATTAGGTTAAATGTATAACTGACTCTAAATGTAGGTATTGTGATATAAACCGAGTCTGTTCTACAGTTTCTCATTAGGCTGAATGAATAACCGACTCTAAATGTAGGTATTGTGATATAAACCGAGTCTGTTCTACAGTTTCTCATTAGGCTGAATGAATAACTGACTCTAAATGTAGGTATTGTGATATAAACCGAGTCTGTTCTACAGTTTCTCATTAGGCTGAATGAATAACTGACTCTAAATGTAGGTATTGTGATATAAACTGAGTCTGTTCTACAGTTTCTC